CAGATTAGTCTACGTATTACAGTTACACAAATAATATAAATCAGATTAGTCTACTTATTACAGTAAGACAAATAATATAAATCAGATTAATCTACGTATTACAGTGAGACAAATAATATAAATCAGATTAGTCTACGTATTACAGTTAGACAAATAATATAAATCAGATTAATCTACGTATTACAGTTAGACAAATAATATAAATGAGATTAGTCTACGTATTACAGTTTGACAAATATAATAAACAGGTTTTGTCTACAGTTTACTCGCCAGACTAATAAATTAAACAGTAATTGACCATTATTTACTCGTCAGGCCAATGACGTAAACAGTAATTGACCATTATTTACTCGTTAGGCCAATGAAGTAAACAGTAATTGTTCATTATTTACTCGTTAGACTAATATAATAAACGGAATATCTCCACTATTTATACGGGAGCACAATAAAATATTCAAAAAATGCCCAAGAATTACCATCAAGTACTATTACCCTGCTCCACATTTTATTTTCGTAATTGTGGTGTTGACACTTACGTCGAACAGTACGAAACATGTTGCTCCACTATCCTTTATTGAATTGTTTGTTATTTTGATGGTGTACATCAGATGGTGTACTGTTTTAAAAGTGTGTTTACAATACTTACATCGACAAGTAGGTAACGCGTTGCTCCACATCAGATGGTGTACTGTTTTAAAAGTGTGTTGACAATACTTACGTCGACAAGTAGGTAACGCGTTGCTCCACATCAGATGTTGTACTGTTTTAAAAGTGTTTTGATAATACTTACGTCGACAAGTAGGTAACGCGTTGCTCCACATCAGATGGTGTACTGTTTTAAAAGTGTGTTTACAATACTTACGTCGACAAGTAGGTAACGCGTTGCTCCACATCAGATAGTGTACTGTTTTGAAAGTGTGTTGACAATACTTACGTCGACAAGTAGGTAACGCGCTGCTCCACATGCCGTTTTCTCTACAGTGTATGTTGGCTCGACCAAACAGCTCGTATCCGGGGCGACACCTAAATGTTACCTGTCTGGTGTAAGTAAAGATGTCTCCTTCAAGATCAGCGTGTTCAACTAACCCTGGATGACCACAGCTTCGAGCTAGAAGATAACTGACCATGTCATTTCATCGTTCTCACAACTTGCTGTTGTAATAATGAAACTAATCTGAATCTTGTTGCTAAATTACAGGCAACATTTAATGTGGTGTGAGGACCAGTCGTGTTTGACTTTATCCACACCTACTTACAACAACAGAAATAATATGTAGCTAATACAACGTGTTCAATATATAATTTAGGCTTAACACGCTTTCGATGACATTCGTAAAGATACCTCATAATCTAGCTGTTTTCAAGCACAATAACAGAAGAATGGTAAAACAAAATGAAGAAACATCTCTAGGGTTAGTAAATCAAAGCTAAAACATTCTAGGGTTAGTAAGATATAACGAATTAACATTTCTGAGATTAATAAAACAAAGTAAATAAATATTTCTAGGGTTAGGAAAACACATTAAAGAAGCATTTGTTGGGCTAGTAAAACAAAGCGAATAAACATTTCTAGGGTTAGTAAAACATAGTAAACAAACATTTTTACGGTTAGTAAAACATAGTAAACAAACATTTCTAGGGTTAGTAAAACAAAGTAAACAAACATTTCAAGGGTTAGTAAAACGAAGTAAACAAACATTTCTAGGGTTAGTAAAACAAAGTAAACAAACACTTCTAGGGTTAGTAAAACAAAGCGAATAAACATTTCAAGGGTTAGTAAAACATAGTAAACAAACATTTCTAGGGTTAGTAAAACAAAGTAAACGAACATTTCTAGGGTTAGTTAAATAAAGTAAACAAACATTTCAAGGGTTAGTAAAACGAAGTAAACAAACATTTCTAGGGTTAGTAAAACAAAGTAAACAAACATTTCTAGGGTTAGTAAAACACAGTAAACAAACATTTCTAGGGTTAGTAAAACAAAGTAAACAAACATTTCAAGGGTTAGTAAAACGAAGTAAACAAACATTTCTAGGGTTAGTAAAACAAAGTGCAAAGGCATTTCCAAGGATGGAAAACGACATGAAGAAATATTTCCAGAAATATTTTAGCATAAGCGGATATACTGTGTATTTCTGTAGCATTCAGGCTTTCTTAATATTAAAAAAAAATCATCTCTTTTACCAATACAATAATGTTTTAATATATTAAAGTAATAGGTAAATAAGTCGACAGAAAAAAATTGTTGTATAATTTGGAATACGACTGGGAAGTTAGAATTGTTTTGTTTTTACATATTACTTCTCTGTTGCCAATAAATCCAAGTAGTCAGAAGTTTTAAAACTGATCAAAGCTTGTTGGCAAGCAGATAAAGAATATTTGACCTACGCTTGCACACTAGGTCGGGTCCAAACCACTGGGCGGTTCCATTGTAGAACATACACTTGGCTTCAGAAAATCCTTGAGCTTCGTAGCCAGTGAAACAATAGTACTTGAGGAGAAATCCAATATCGAATTCGACTCTGGTCTTCGAAGTGTGGTTTGCATGACGAACGAAAGGTGCTGGTCCGCAAAGAGCTAGTTTTAATAAACAGAGTTTCATTAGATGAGCTAGTTTTAATATACAGAGTTTCATTAGATGAGTTAGTTTTAATAAACACAGAGTTTCATTAGATCAGTTAGTTTTAATAAACACAGAGTTTCATTAGATTAAACTCTGTGTTTATTAAAACTAGCTCGTAAATGATAATCAGACACTTTATACTGTCAAATAATATAGTACAAACAATCACAACAGAAATGTTTCAACGTAAATGATAATCAGACACTTTATACTGTCAAATAATATAGTACAAACAATCACAACAGAAATGTTTCAATGTAAGCCGAATGAAGATGTAATGAAACTTTGTGTTTATTAAAACTAGCTCATCTAACGAAACTCTGTGTTTATTAAAACTAGCTCATCTAATGAAACTATATATTAAAACTAGCTTATCTAACGAAACTCTGTATATTAAATCTAGCTCATCTAATGAAACTCTGTATATCAAAACTAGCTCATCTAACGAAACTCTGTGTTTATTAAAACTAGCTCATCTAATGAAACTTTGTGTTTATTAAAACTAGCTCATCTAATGGTTGAAACATTTCTGTTGTGATTGTTTGTACTATATTATTTAACAGTATAAAGTGTCTGATTATCATTTACATTGAAACATTGTGGTTGTAAACGCTATTTCCTTCTGTTTTACTTTGAAACATTATTTTCTTGTGGTTTAAATCCTTCTGTTTTAAAATGTAATTTCTTTGTGTTTCACATTGAAATATTGTTTTCTTGTGTCTTACAATAAAAATGTGTTTCTCTGTGTCATTATAGTTATTTTTCTATTTTTTTAAGTTATTTCCTTGTGTTTTACAATACATATCTTTGTATTATTATGAGGTTATTTTCTCCCTCACCTTTCTTTCTACAAGCTGGAGCTTTGTCGCTCCAAGATCCGTCTCCCTGGCACCTTCTTTCCCTCGGACCGGACATCACAAAACCTTCGTTACAACTGTAGGTCACTTTCGCTCCAAAACCTTCTATTTCAGGCCTTCGGATTAAACCGTTTTCAATATCTTCAAGGTAGTCACATTTTAGGTCTAGAGAAATAAAGTTAGACACTAATTTAAATACCACAACTTTTGAAAAACGTTTACAGAAACAGAGCTAGACAGTTGTTGATAAATGTTTAAGTTTGTCCAAACTAGCAAAGGAAAACGAAATTAATACAGTATAGAATATAACTGGGAACTGAAAAAAGAGTTAGATGAATTCGACGCAGGAATAAATTTAAATTTAATGAATTATTAGAGATAAGTATTAATGGATGATGTTTTCTTTCAATGCAAGTCTAAGATGTTTGAGTAAAAAACCAAATAAAATTTTAGTCTACAATTCTCTACTGAATTAAGGCATAACTCTCTCCTTACACGACCTGAGAGCAGCGCATAATCTACAAAACAAAATGGTTCTGTATCAACAATTAGAATGTGTTAGTTAAAGTACGAATGGATTGTACTTAAACAATTAGAATGTTTGTGTTAAAGCAGGAATGGATTGTACTTAAACAATTAGAATGTGTTAGTTAAAGCAGGAATGGATTGTATTTAAACAATTAGAATGTGTTAGTTAAAGTATGAATGGATTGTATTTAAACAATTAGAATGTGTTAGTTAAAGTAAGAATGGATTGTACTTAAACAATTAGAATGTGTTAGTTAAAGCAGGAATGGATTGTATTTAAACAATTAGAATGTGTTAGTTAAAGTAAGAATGAATTGTACTTAAACAATTAGAATGTGTTAGTTAGAGTATGAATGGATTGTATTGAAACAATTAGAATGTGTTAGTTAGAGTATGAATGGATTGTATTTAAACAATTAGAATGTGTTAGTTAAAGTATGAATGGATTGTATTTAAACAATTAGAATGTGTTAGTTAAAGTATGAACGGATTGTATTTAAACAATTAGAATGTGTTAGTTAAAGTATGAAGGATTGTATTTAAACAATTAGAATGTGTTAGTTAGAGTATGAATGGATTGTATTTAACAATTAGAATGTTTGTGTTAAAGTAAGAATGGATTGTATTTAACAATGAGAATGTGTTAGTTAAAGTAGGAATGGATTGTATTTAAACAATTAGAATGTTTGTGTTAAAGTATGAATGGATTGTATTTAAACAATTAGAATGTTTGTGTTAAAGTAGGAACGGATTGTAATTAAACAATTAGAATGTGTTAGTTAAAGCAGGAATGGATTAAAAATAAACTCTTGTTAAATCATCACTATTACACAAGCTAATGCATTTTAAAATTTTGTACGTTGTTGAAGCTGTTATGAAGAGTATATTTCCACGAGGAAATCGCGAGTTTATAATTTAATAATAATAGATGTAATTATCTCTAAATATTTGATAAGAAATATCTGACAAGGTTGTTTGTCAGTTTTATAATATTCATTCTCAGCTTCCAGTTGTCGTTCCTTTAAGCTCTTTATCTTTAAACTAGTCCCAAAACAGCCCTTTACAAGACCCATTAACGGTCCTTAGACTGTCGTTACAATCTCAGTATCTTTCGTCGTGCCCGGGATACTAATATCTCTATCCACGCTCGAGAGGACGCCCCCGGCTACTGCTGTTTCCGGACTGAACTGGCGGATCAAGCCACGAGTATCAGGGGAGCACTTAGGAAAGCTTCACGGCCGAACTAGTGTGGTGCGATGAAAAGAATTTCTCCGTAAGGACAAGTCTCATCAGTAGAGAGACTGAAGCACTTTTCCATGAATATAAAAAAATGTAATTTCACTTAGAAGTATTACTTGAAACAAAAACTACAACTCTGGGAATAAATCCCTTAAACAGCGAGTGTGCTCTATTGGAGATGTTTTGTAGAATCAAAAAAGTTACATTAGAAGCTAGTAAAATGTAATTGAAAAAAAATATATAAATATATATATATATTAAGATTTGAAATAATCGTTAAAAAGCGTATTCAAGGAAGAAAACAGTCTCTAAAATATACTGGTAACTAAGCCAGAGATTAAAGACTAAAAAAACAGATGATAAAGCTAAAGAATTACTATTAATGATTCCATTATGTCGTTCAACATGTTCACTTACATTCCATCCCTCATGTCGTTCAACATGTTCACTTACACTCCAATCATCATGTCATTTAACATGTTCACTTACATTCCATCCATCATGCCGTTCAACATGTTCACTTACACTCCAATCATCATGTCATTTAACATGTTCACTTACATTCCATCCATCATGTCATTCAATATGTTCACTTACATTCCATTCATCATGCCGTTCAACATGTTCACTTACATTCCATTCATCATGTCGTTCAACATGTTCACTTACACTCCAATCATCATGTCATTTAACATGTTCACTTACACTTCAATCATCGTGTCATTTAACATGTTCACTTACATTCCATCCATCATGTCGTTCAACATGTTCACTTACACTCCAATCATCATGTCGTTCAACATGTTCACTAACTTTCTACTCATCATATTACTTAACTTCTTCAATTTATTGTTGAAAATTGGAGTTTTTAAAATAATCATTTATCATGTAGCACAATAAATTCAGAAAGTATAAACTGCGTGGTCCTGAGAATTAAACTAATATTTGTTTACCCTTAAATCGTAAAAACTCGAGAAAAAATAAAAATCGTGAGTACCTTTAAACAAATGACCAGATAGAAGGTAGCCATTCACGAGAGCCCTCCAACAGAAGGAGTTCGTTTGGCATCAAATCAAATGACGGGATTGACCGTCACTCTTATAAAGTAACTACAGCTGAAAGTGCGTCATCAACACGCAAATTTGAATATGTAGATCCGCGGCCCAGAATGATAATTTTTAGTCTACAATAGTAAAGTTTGCATTGCATAAAGTAACAACCACAGGTATCTTAGGTACATAGTAAAGAAAGGTTCCATCAATACATGAAGTAACGACCAGAGGTATCCTAAGTGAATAGTAAAGTTCCATCAATACATGAAATAACAACCACAGGTATCGAAGGTGCATAGTAAAGAAAGGTTCCATCAATACATGAAGTAACGACCAGAGGTATCCTAAGTGAATAGTAAAGTTCCATCAATACATGAAATAACAACCACAGGTATCGAAGGTGCATAGTAAAGGAAGGTTCCATCAATACATGAAGTAACAACCAGAGGTATACTAAGTCATAGTAAAGTTCCATCAATACATGAAATAACAACCACAAGTATCCAGGTTGCTTAGTAAAGAAATGTTCCATCAATACATGAAATAACAACCACAGGTATCGAAGGTGCATAGTAAAGGAAA